TATATATATATATATGCTGATGGCTGATGATGATGATGATTATATCATCGGGTGAATTTAGAAAATGAATTTTTATTAAATTGTCTCCAGTCTAGGTATTCTGCCAGTGTTGCCACACTTGGCAGGCGGGTTGGCAACCACGTGTTTTAAAAGGAACGTTACTGCCCATTTCTCGATCATTAAACTCCATTATTTGCCTTACGACACCCACGGGAAAAGAAGGCCCATTCTATGCCGGGACCACACGGCGACACCTATACTTATTTTAAATATACTAATGACAAAATATAGTGGAATTGAGAACATGTTTCTTTTTGAATGAATGAACGATAATTTGCTTTTTTATTTTAAATTTGAAATAATAAATTCATGAGACAATAAAGAGTACTAAATACTACTAAGCAATACTCCTTACAAACACCGTGAGTGAGTTTCATAATTAATTTCCTTCTACAATTTTATACGGAAAATATTTCCTTAGTTACAACTTGGATATCTAAGATTTCCCCTTAATGTTCTCTTTTATTTCTGTTTTGATTAGCAACCCCCCTCCCTCCGCCCCTCCCGCTTTCCTTAGATGAAAGAGGGAAATATTTTTTTATAAAAGTTGCCAGTGATAGCTGGAGGGTAGTTAATAAGTTACGAGATACGAAGAATCTGATGCTTAGTGTCAATTAACGAAATCCTACTTTTAATTCGTATATACTTATTTAATAGTATAGTTTACTTAGATTATCGAGCTTCAAAAACGGGTTAACATTTTGTCAGCTAATTAAAAAATTAGCTTACTCATTTTTTATCAGTATTGTATATACTTACACAATAAATGTATCTTGACGTACATACATACATACATTTCTGTCACGCTTGTCTCCCATTAGGGTAGGCAGAAACAATGGAACGCCAAATGCTTCGATTCAAACAAACCTCTTTCGCTTCTTCCACATTCATCAATCTTTTCATACACGCTCGCCGGTTACGGGTACTTTTAATTTGGCCCTTCTTCAGCACGTCGTCTATTTGGTCTACATACGTCCGTCTAGGGCGGCCCCTACCGACATCTTCATTCATTCTTGCTCCATAAATCTCTTTCGTAATTCTTCTTTCATCCATCCTCTCCAAATGGCCAAACCAATCTTATCTTGACGTATTATTTAATAAATAGAATGAATGTTTACGCATTAAAAAAATGCAGAAATTGTAATATAAAATAACTATAGAAGTTATAAAGGAATCACTCATAACTATTTATCATGCAAAATTGTATGAAAAAGAAGAGAAGAGAAGTATTTCTACGGAGACACTCGTATCTATATAATCTAAGATAGACTAGTTTTTGCCAACAAATTCGTACTTGTGAATTTTGAAAGTAGCCTTCTGCCACTCCTACTTGGTAGCGTATTTATTATTTTTATTAATCATATTATAAAAAAAAAAATTGTTATAAAATTTTGGACTTACTGCAATGTTAACACTCACGGAAAAGAAAAGAGTGACCCATTCTATGCCGAGAACTACACGACTTTAATATTTTATTATAAATTATATATACTTATATAATTTATAATAAAATATTCAAGACGTATAATAAAAGTAATTATTATAATAATATTATATATATATATATATATATATATATATATATATATATATATATATATATATATATATATATATATATATATATATATATATATATATATATATATATATATATATATATATATATATATATATATATATAAGACTTTTTAATTATTTGTTAAGTCAACAAAACCATCTCTAGTTACAGGTTACTCAATAGTTATTATATCTCATAATGCTTATCGTTGTTTTAATTTATGTATATGTATGTATATATATATATGTATATATTTCATATGTATTAGTTTATCCATATATATTAAAAGTAATGTTTATGTATTATATGTGCATTTCTTATGTGTATATTATATTTATATTGTGTATTGCCTTAATGTGTTACTATAATTGTCACATATTTTTCACCGCATCTGCCCTTCATACATCATAGAGAATGCCATATGGCATTAAGCTCGCCATTTGTACAAAATTTTACTGTGCAATAAAGAATAAATAAATAAATAAATAAATATTATTATAATAATGACATACAATACAGTTACATTACACTTATCGGTATTACAGTGTAATTAATTTTGTCACAGTATCATAAATTATATTTGCTTTTATACGTTGTATAAATAAATAATCAGACAACCAAACATTCCCATTCATTATTAGTCAAGATTGAAACCAGACACAAGCAAGATTCAAATCGCAAATCCCAAATTAGTGGTCACACAAGGTCGCGCAGACTTACGAGGGCACAGTAACTATGTAACAGCTTAATAAGTAATTAATGTCGAACAGATCGCTCCCGATAATAACGACCGAGATATTGTGGGGAATCAACGGAGTGTGCAGTAGGGGTTGGGTAATATATAACAACATATACACGAATTACTAGAGTAATACTTATCATGGGCGAAACAGTATACTCTGTTATGTCCATGGTACTGCTCATGTCTATAGGCGGCGGTTACCACTTTACGCCAGGTGGGCCGTCAGCTTGTTTGCCATTCTAAGTCGTATAAAAAAAAAGACAATTATCTGTCTATATATCTATCTATCTCAATAGGTGATGACCTTTTTTCCGCCGTTAACGTCCAAAGGAATCAAATATGTAGATATCAGATCGGTATTCATATAACCCAGGCCTAGAGTGTAGTTGTTAAGTGACGAATATGTTTCGCGTTTCCGATCGATTGGATTAACCATTAGATTGTGAAACCTTAGTTGATCCTACTATAAGTGTATGTTTGTGAGGATGAATCGACAGACAGGATGTTTGGTAGTCTTTCACGCAAAAACTACTGACAGGGTTTGCTTGAAATTTTGTATAGTTAATGTGAATTTGTTTATTACTTGTTGGCTATAATATATATATATATATATATATATATATATATATATATATATATATATATGTATGTATATTTTGCCATGCTTGCCAGGCAGATTGGCAACCGCAGTTAGGCTTTGAAGATGTTTTAAGAGGTTGTGATGCTGCCCTCCCTTAGTCGCCTCTTACGACATCTACGATAAAGGAAGGGGTACCTTATTCTATGCCGGGACCCCGCGGCCAATAATAGAATATAAATAAATAAATTTCATCATATATGTGTATACAAAATTCCGTGACAATTGGTTTAGCAGTTACAAGTGCTAAAGGGTAAAAAGCAAACAAACTCAATTATCATCATGGTAAGGGTAAATTCCGAAATTCCAATAGAATTTCACGGCAAATTTTATCATAACAAGTGAATTATTGTTTACTGATAATATAGTAATTTTAATAGCAAATTCCGAAAATCCATGGGATTATAGCACAAATTATATTAAATTACACGATAAAAGCAAAATTTTGTTCGACTCCCGAACTCGTGTAATATTAAAATGCTTCAAAGAGTTTTCATTGTACATAAATTAATTGCTGAAATTCTAAACTTTTTTAATTCTATGAGTTTTAATACGATTTTGTACAATGATACACAATGTTGTTTTCATGTAAATTGTTTGTATGTATAATAGGAATATATGTCATACGTATGAATATTCTATTGTGAAGTTGTTTCATAATTTTCTCATTGTTTTTTATTTCATAATTATCACTTGACACACGAGATGTATTTATTTTTTCTGTATTTTCACTACTCTTATAAATATTTTACATTGATTCACTTACCTGATTCTGATTCTATCATAAAATAGAGTGGAATAGAGCAAAATAAAGCAGAATAGAGCGTATTAGAGCGGAATAGAGAGGAATAGAGCGGAATAAAGCGGAATAGAGTGGAATAGAGTGGATTAGAGTAGAATAGAATGGAATAGAATAGAATAGAATTACTGTGTATGAAGAGCTGACACTGATTTTAAGTTCAAAGCAATGTTTATTTGCTTCGAACTTAAAATCAATATCAACAGTTATATTCTACCGGGTATGCAATAATTTTAGAATATGTGTGGTAAATAGCAATTATATAAATATTAAAACATTTCAATACTCCTATATATTGCATAATTGAAAATAAATAAGAATTATTTGGCAATACAATTAATATAAAAAAAGAATAATCAAAATAAAATTATTTAAATTAAAGGCAAGTATCATTCTGTTTATATTATTATTAAATTAATGAGTTTTAGCATTAAAGTATTTATATAAACTATACAATTATATACTCGAAAGATAATAATATTGTTTTTAAAAATAACTGATGCGTGATCCATTGCACATATGTAGTCTCTTTAGCTAATCTTATAATTGTTACTAGCTGACCCAGCATACGTTGTTTTGCCATATAAATCAGTTTTTTTATGTAGATATCTCTACAGAACAGTTCCTACAGAACACCCTAATAACCCAGCGGTATGAGGGGGGAAAGGGATTGTTAGTAATGGAGACTGAGAATCCCATTGCTAGCAATATATATACCCAACCAGGTCGACCTCCTCGCGGTTCCCCCTGGAAACTATCATGATTAATTCCTGATGAATTCATCATGATGGGCTAACTGGCCTGTTTTCATTCTCATCTATCACCCTTCACTGGTGCTCCGCCAGCGTATCCCGTTAGCGCAGGCGGGGTTACCATACCATTTTCACCCATCAAAAAAAAAACCCAGCGGTATGAAATATACTTCACGATTTATTCTTATATCTACTAGATATATTATAGATTATATCATTATCATCATATTAGTTTTTAATTATTCACTGTTAACTATAAGCCTCCCCCTTGGAAGATTTTGCCAGTAGTTGCCACGCTTGGCAGGCGGATTGGCAACCGCAGTTAAACTTTGGAGATGATTTAAGATGTACGCTGCCGTCCATCCCTCGTCCTGAATATTTATTCTTATGTAAATACAACAACGGGTCTAAAGTAAAAAAAAAAAACTAAAAAGAGTGTATTGTTACAGATAAAGCGCCATCGGAGGCTACGTTCCGTGGGGCGGAGTTTCTATCGTACGACCTGACGCAGACCGGAGGGGAGCCCATAGTGAGCACACAGGACGCCATATCGCTATACTTCAAGACTCGTCAGCCTAATGGCCTGCTCTTTTATACCGGTACGTTTGGCCTTTGTGTGGAAAGTCCGATGTTTTATGTCTCAGTTTCGATGGCACTTGTAAGGTACAAATCAGTGTTGCCAGATTGCACTTTTTCGCGGTTTTAGCTAAAAATATGAAATTTTTGGAGAAACGTAAAATGGGCTTGGAGAAATTTGGGTAATTTTTTTTTAATGGATAATAGTTTTAGTATTTGTAAATTCTGTACAGGTATATAAGGTACATAATTATAGTAAAATATATGATTCAGTCATATATTAAAAACTAAACTTTGAAGCTGTTTTGATAAAATTTCTATTGAATTTTTTTTATACAACTTAGATTGACAAACAAGCTGACGGCCCACCTGATGGAAAGTGGTATCCGTCGTCTATAGACATGAGCAGTACCATGGATATAACAGAGTATACTGGTTTACCTATGATACCTCTCCATGCGTCGCTATTTCTGAGGACAGATGTTATTCCTCTGTACCCTGTAAATTCACTGCAATATTCCACCCTTCAAACCGAAACACAACCATGCGAACACAACTACTTCACGGTAGAAACACGAATGGGACAGAAGTGCCCAAGCAAACGACCTTTGTACAAAGTCTTCCTCTGGTAAATCTGTAAGTATATCCTTTCAGATAAAAAAAGAATTTTCCAAATCGGTTTATAACTGACAGAGTTACGATGTAACAAACAAAAAAGTGCAACCTCTTTTTTTGAAGTCGGTTAAAACATCTAAGACGCTTTCACTTATCACCAGGTCACGAGGCTGACTATCTGAACCTCGCGGTCCGGGATGGTGGCGTCTCCCTCACCATGGGACTTGGGAATGGGAAGCAAGAGATTCATATCAAGCCAGCGAAGACGAGGTTCGACGATCACCAATGGCACAAGCTGACAGTACACAGGAGAGTGCAAGAGGTAAGCACTTACTTAACCAGTGTTCCATCGTCTTTTTTAAATATTTTACTGTAACAGAAGTTTTTTTTTAATTTTTTAAATTTAACTCTGAAAAGATATACACACAAACTGTTAAATATGTTTTTTTTTTCACATTAATAGTAATCACCTATTACTATTAATGGGAAAAAAAATTTAACACTTTGTGTGTTAAACTAACTTACACTAACTTAACTACTTAGGTAATTTTACTCTTAGTATATTATCTAATACTAATACTAATATACTTCTAATACTAATATACTTCTAATACTAATATACTTCTAATACTAATATACTTCTAATACTAATATACTTCTAATACTAATATACTTCTAATACTAATATACTTCTAATACTAATATACTTCTAATACTAATATACTTCTAATACTAATATACTTCTAATACTAATATACTTCTAATACTAATATACTTCTAATACTAATATACTAATCATCATCATCATCATCGTCATCTCGGCTATTATCTGTCCACTGCTAAACATAGGCCTAGCCCATAGACTGATTCCCCATAGAAAACGGTTCTGCTCCACTCGCTTCCATTGATATACTACTAATATTAATAATTTTTTTTTTATGCCACTGAGGCGGCAAACAAGCATACGGCCCACCTGATGGTAAGCGGTTACCGTAGCCTATGAACGCCTGCAATACCAGAGGTATTACGCGCGCGTTGCCGACCCTGAAGAAACCTCTTTACCCCCCATTTGAAGAACCTAAGAAGAAGTTATTAATAATATAATAACTGAACGATATATGTACATGGGAGATATTTAAAAAAATAATATATAAGAGAATTTTAGAAGAATAATATAGAGAATCCAAAATTATATTTTTCAAAAATTATGTCTGTCTTTTTAACTGTCTGTCTGTATGTGTGTTCAAGCATCACGCAAAAGCTATTGCACTAAATTGAATGCAATCGTATTTCTGAAAATCTGACTTAAAAATTAATGTATGTTATTGGTTTTTCTATTTTTTTAAAACTGCACGTACGAAATAGCATGCAAAAATCTAGTTTTATATAAATTTTATCATTAATCATCAACTCGGCCATAAACTGTCCAATGCTGACCATAGGTCTCCCCCATTAACTGCCATAAAAAACGGTCCTGAGCCACCTGCATCCACTGACACCCTGCAATGCATTTAAGGTCGTCACTCCATCTAGTGGGGATCGTCCTACACTGTTTTTGCTCGTACGGGGTCAATACCAAAGAATCTTTCTTCCATCGGTAGTCAGTTTTACTAGCTAGCTGACCTTTGTCACTTATCATTAATTATCATTTATAATTAATAAACATTATAATTTGTACTTCGTATTTGTATTTCAATTACAAATACCTATTATAAAGTTTTTTAATATCAAAAGTCGATCACACGAGCTTTAATGGATTATAAATATTCTACTTCCATTCAATCGCTCAACAATGTTGCTTTTGTGTTGATAACCATAGGTACAGTCAGCATCAAAAATTGACAGCGAGCCAATTCTATATTTATGTTAATTTATTTTGCATGCCAAGCCTGGCTGAATGTGTAGGGCATATAATATTTGTATTTACATTTTTGTTAATCATATTTATTATCAATCCGAACAATTCCTCAGAACACTTCCCATGACAAATTCGGTAGAAGATGCACAGAGATGCAACATCTCCACGCATATTACTATGTTCATTCGACTTTTTATGTTGACCATACATTTCGCAATTAATATAACTGAACACATTCCATCATATTCGATCGTTGTTACAATGTTATAGAGTTTATAATCGTTCATCAATTTTTGATACACTATCTGAATATGTTACAGTCATTGAGTTGAAATAGCTAAGTAATTAATAAGTGTAGCGGTGAAGGCCCAGTCGGATAACGCTTCAATACGGGGGGAAAGGGATTGTTAGTAATGGGGTCTAATGAACCCATTGCTAACAATACACTCAGGTCGACCTCCACGTGGTTCAATGAAATTTGACACACAAGTAGGTTATATCCTAAATTTGCAAATTGGATGCTTTATACACGGATTCAAGTGGGCGAAACCACAGGATACGACTAGTTATAATAATTTAAATTTAGAACGCAACTATAATTAGATTTCAGTTATACAAACTCGCGTAACAAGCAGTGTTTTTCGCAAAGAAAAACTACTTTAAAATAAGTCAGACTAAGTTGCGGGTAAGAGCTAGTTTCTAGTGTAAGTAAGGATTATTTTACGCACTGTAATATACAGGGTGTAGGTCCCAGCATAGAATAGACCACCTCTTCCTTTCCCGTGGGTGTCGTAAGAGGTGACTAAGGGAGCATATCGTAGAGGAATGGGCAGCAGCGTCCCTTTTAAAACATATGTAAAAGCCTAACTGCGGTTGCCAATCCGCCTATCAAGCGTGGCAACTACTGGCAGAACTCCCCTTATAGCGAAGGCTAATAAAAGGTATAGCAATGGACAGTTAACGGCTGAAATAAAATAAAATAAATAACTATACGAGTACAGGTGGACTATTTTGGTTCGAAAGTCTTTTAAAAATAATGACAGCATTATCAGATATATCACAGTCAATCCAGACGGGGCATCAAAAATAACGAGACAGCGCGCGTCAGCGTCTAATTGACGGACGGTAGACTCTTGTTTCCAAAGTACTAGTATATATTCGTAGATACTCATGTAAGGATCGATGCTACACCAGGGATATTGTTATATAAAGGAATTTCGTTGGAATATTGACTTTCATCACCTACCTCGTCTCACACTTAGATTGCTGGTTCAGGGCTCCCGTAATTCGATTATCGTTGTCTGTTTTTCCTCGATTTATGTGTATGCATATATAAACAATAAATAATAATAATTATCACCTAAACTCACCCCAAATAACCGAAGATAGGTGATATTTTTAAGAACTGCCGTGGAGGTCAATGTTTGTTCCCGCGTTAAAGTCACACACTGGCTCTTGTTGCACGGCACTCACACCAGAGGGCAGGCGTCTCCATATAGCCCCGTAATGAGTAATTTACAGGGACGATATATATTTATATGTGTGTGTGTGTGTGTTCCATTCCATTTTCATCCATTAAAAAAACCGTATTCACTCACACATCGATAGAAAAGTTGGCGGGTTTTTTGTAATGCATTTATATGGAGACACTATCTATATAATCTAAGGTTTAAACAATATATTTGTATGTGTATTTGCACTAAATATTTTTTAGACAATAATAAAGTTATTTATAATATCATAAGCATATAATTTAGTTTCAATAATTGCATCAATATACCATCATTATAGTAAGAAGTAGAAAAACTAATAAAAAGCAATTCCAAAAAAAAATTTAATTATTCTTCGTGGAAAACAATTACGATTATGGTATTGTATAATAAATTATGTACACAAATTAGTTCAATGGTATATTCACAAAAATTTCCATTACTTCCATTGAATCAACTTGCTTAATATTTATACCAACTATTCGTGGAAATAAATCGATATAGTGAATGTCAAGATTTGTGAGGCACTAATTTGTAGAGCAATCGCCTAGATCATTTACATGTAGATGGAACGTTGCGTCTCAAATAACGCCTCAGAAAATCACGCTATTGTTAACTAAGGCATTATTTTTCATACTATGTGTTTAAATGTTAAATCTATTGTCTGTTTAAAATAAATAAATAATACTTACTTATATTGTGTGTAAATGTGATAATAAGTATACCAGAGGGAGACTTAGTACAAAAGTCGTTTGCTTGGGTACCTCTATCCCATTCGTGTTTCAACCGTAAAGCAGTTGTGTTTGCATAGCTGTGTTTCGGTTTGAAGGGTGGAATATGGCAGTGAATTTACAGGGTACAGAGGAATAACACCTGAGTCCTCAGGAATGGCAATGCATGAGGGATATTATGGGCGAAACAATATACTCTGTTATGTCTATGGTATTGCTCATGTCTATAGGCAACGGTTACCACTTTCCGTCAGCTTGTCATTCTTAGTTGTATAAAAAAAAGTGGAAGTCCTCAATTCACTTGTATGTTATTGGACTAGATTTTGAGGCATAATTTTTCCTATATATAAATCTATCTCTTAATCTTATATTTTAATTTGATAGTTTTATGAACTATTGTAAACTAAATAATTCTGATTTGACTTAAATCTATTAGAAGTTCAGTTTATATCGATTCTTAGAATTAATATTTCAATGTGATATCGAATTAAAATTTTAATTTAAAAGATAGCTTAGAGAAATAGAGCCCCAGAATCGACCCCATTGTGTGTATTTTACTCGTTATCTTTGCTAAGTCTGAACCGATTTTGAGTATTCTTTTTGCAATCGATATAGTTCACTTCCACATTGCTTTTACATTAATCTTGAAATCAGTTGAAATTGTTGTTGTCTTAGAACATATTGAATTGTTAGTGATAGAAAGGGTCGGGGACTGATATTATTAAAATAAATTAAATAAATAAAAATATCGTTGTAAGTTTAAAAATTATGATAAACACAGCGGCACATTCTAAGAATACACAGTCTCTAGGTAAAACCGTGGTAAACTTATTTTTATAACTACTTTTAATCATGTAAAGGTGGCGCCGTCTGTTGTCAAGAGGTCCAAGGCCTTCCGCTGAACACGAAGGCCTCTGACAGACTTCTCAGGGCTGCCAGATGCGAATTTTTATTTTTGCCTAAATATCAAATTTTTTAACTAAATTGATATGATTTCCAGGACTTTCACCCAATCATAAACTTATATCTGTTTTCACTTTTGCCATGTACCACAAAATGAATGTCGAAAAAATCTCTCTTCGATTTCTAGTTATATATTATTTTATTTAATCCCTTCTTTATCCCATTCTCTGTTTTCTACCTTCATTAATATAATTTATTTATATATACTGTATTTATACACTTTTATACATATTACAAATAATAAACCTAAAAATATCCTCAAGTATCTGCAAGCCTATTT